CTCTACGAGCCTTAAGCACATGGGAAATGATGAATCGGGGGTTTCTCTTCACTTGTCTAGAGTGTTTAGTGTATGCCCTTTGAGCGATATGTGACACATTCGCTATCTGTCATAGTCTTTAGTGCAACGTGAATCTCAAACAAACTAATTCACTTCACTAAAACTCACAAACAAACTTCAAACCTTTTTATCCTTTGGGATTTGTATGTCAAACTCATTTTCAGAAAAGAGTACGTTACTTTTCCGTTCTACCACAAACAGGAATTGATCCTAACTGTTAGAATGAGAACTTAACGTCACTCATAAAAAACACTTAACGAACCTATGGTTTCCTCTTTACCCGAACTACGTTTGCTCTGATTTCTCATACTAGATGAGGATACGTAGGCACAAGATGACGATGTCTTAGCGAGCAACCTCCCCCCATCACCCGTAGTTTTCTGAACTACGTTGACTCTGACTTTCCCATTGCACAAGGGAATACGTAGGCGTAGGGCGACGATATCCTATCGAGTCTCTTTCTTTTTCTTTTATTCTTGTTTCTGCTTAGCAGTAGCTTATAGATAACCCACCCTTTGATTAGACAACAAGCGTGGATCCCATTGAGTACAACAGACGTGAGGGGTGCTAACACCTTCCCCTTGCGTAACCGACTCCCGAACCCAAGATTTGGTTGCGATGACCTTGTCGTTTCCTTTCTTTTAGTTTTTCTTTGATCGTTTCCTTTTCCTCTCTTTGGGATAAATAACGTTCGGTGGCGACTATTATGTTTTTCCACCGGGTGTTTTTCGCAATTGCGACACATTGGCTCGAGGCTCTTGCTCGACCTAATCTGGCGGTGCTTTTCCCTCTGCGTCGACCAAGTCTACTTCGGCATTTTCATCGACCAAGTCAACTTTGGCGGTGTCATCGACCGTAACAATGTCCTCGGGCTTTAGGGTCATTTAACTTGAAAAGTAGAGGAAAACAGTGAATTCGATGTTAATATCAAATTCACCCTTCCACCGTAAATCAAGTAAAAAGGCAAAGAAAAATGTGAAGACACGTCCCCGACCAAAGCCCTTGTTGAAGAGCACGTAGGAAATCTCCTCGACACGAGACACACGACCCCCTACATGAGGGCGAGGTTCCTCGTCAGAACCAAGTGGAGGAGGTCTCCTCGACAAAAGACTTTCCCAGAGTATCCGCGCCCTCACGAGGAGATAGTTTCCCCGATGTCGAGCCTGGAGGGGACGCGCGAGCCTCATGAGCTCCCCGGGATCTTCATCGAAAGCTTTAAGAATTCCCCAAAATATTCATCAAAAACTTTATTGGTGCCCCGATATCTTCATGAGTTTTTCAGAAAGTTTACAGGAAACTTAATCGGAACCTCATGAAGGCCACCGAAAGTTCAAGAGCACGCCAAAAAACTCATCAAAATCACCAGAAAACGCGGAATCCTCAAGCGTCCAGAACTAACCCCTACCATGCTAGCTATAAAGACGAATAAAACTTATGTGTTTATGGAAGATTCTGAAGAGCTGCGGTGGCACAAGAAGAACTGGAGGCAGTGACGACGACGATGAACGGGAAATGGAGAGAGCAGGAAACTTGAGAAATTCATGCAAGAATTGAATATTGAGAGCGTAGAAAATGAGCTCCTTCTCCTCATACTTATACTCGCAGATACGAGCGACGAATTGTCGCCTAGGCACTCAAGTACCCCTACTTGTAGTCGTCAGAGGTATTTATTACTTCTGACACATGGCTCAAGAAGATGTCACACTTGTCCCTTCAAACCCTATCACACTGCTCGAGGAAATGATGTGTCTGCTCCTTCCACTTCCATCATGCTTCGAGCATAATGCTCGACTTCCATAATATGCCCTGAACGCTAATTCGGGGAAACAACGGGAGAAAGTTACATTGTCAAACACAACTTCTGACTTTGACCCCCTCGCGGGCACACGACCTTGAGGTGAATGCGAAATTGGACCCTGTCGTCGAGCATGCGCAAACCTCGCAGGCAGCATCCTGGTAAAAATATTCATGTGCGCATCGCGCTTTCGGACACAATAACTAACTTCCTTGTTTCCTCACGAGCATAGCCTCGCGACCTCACCACTTCAAACCTAGAAGACACTACCCCAAGAAAGTCCCATTGTTCCTCTTTGACATGCAAACTAACTCTTAAGTCATTACTCCCTCAACTGGGAGCAACAACTTGAGGGACTCCTGTTTTGGACTAGGCCTGAAGCTGGCCCACCGTTGGGTATGACCCAATCCAGCTCGGCATTGGGAAGGGCCCAATGCAAAGGCCCAATCCACTCTCACCGCGGGAGGAAACATTCTTCACATGTCTTCCCCACATTTTCCCCGTGCTCCCCACGCGGAAACATGTCATCAGCCAATTACCCACGTCCGAGAGAACTGGTCTTCCACTCTACGAAGTTAGTGGGGAAGTTGATTCAGGATAAAGACCACATGTGGGTCTTCCTTACTGCCACGTAAGATCCTGGCAGTCATTTGTTGTGGGTCTGACGATCCAGCCCAAAGCAGATGACCGTTGGCCCAACGCTGAGGGCACATTATAAATATCATCCTCCATAGGAGGTTCAGGTATTCTAAACTCACTCGCTTTCTGTATTTTCTCACTCTTTCATTCATTCCCTTTTCTCACTTTGACATCGGAGTGTCTTGTAAAACAGGTAAGATAATTTTTGAAGGATTTAGGGATCAATGTTTTTTTTAAAAGGGAAAAATGGAGGCGTAAATTTTGTATTGTAATAAAGAAATATGTGATATTCTTATCTTGGACCTTCCATTCTATTTGTAATTTTATTTTCTATGTCATATATGTAAAAGCTGTGTAAATTCGGGTGGTTGTCTTTCTGACGGCAATAAACTTTCAATGCAGTGGCAAAATTGTTCTTGGATTCCTATAGTAGGTGGACCACGACCATTATTTGATTATGTGTCCTGTTGTAAATCCTAAGTTGTGATTAGAAATTTACTTTATGTGGCATCATGATCAAATTGTTGAAAAAATAAAAATAATATTCTATGCACGCGAAAGCATACCACAAAAAGAAAAATAACGAAAAATTCAAAAATAAAACTCACAAATTCATTAGTCAATTTCTAATCTTTACAAAAACAAAATTACAAACTCCCTGTCTCTCATTAAAATTTCAATTTTTAAAGAAAAATTGTAAGCTTTTTAAACTGCAAATTTTAAACGAAAAAAATTGTAAACTCTCTCTATTACAATTTTTAAATAGAAAAATTGCAAACTCTCACTCAACTACAAACTATTTTTGAGCGGAAAAATACAAAACTTTCTCAACAAACTATTTTTGAACGGAAAAATAGAAAACCTTCTATAGACACACAACTAACCAAATCTCAAATACATAAAAAAAACCACATTTTGTTGTTGGGTAGAAAACTAAAACTAACTATCTATATTTATATTAGTACTCAAATTCTTTTTTTTTATGCTACCCGATATTAGATTTGAATGAATATACTATTTGACCCGACAAATCCTCCATTCATCCAAAGTCTAACATATCTTTACTTTATCTTTAACTTCATCTTCAAAATGATCATTATAATTATAATGATTGACCATATTTATAAAATTGCTACTCTTCAATCGTTTGTCTTCTTTCTCTCTTATCATAATTTTTTGTTACTCTTCCTTTTTCTTGTGATCATAACTTTTTATGACTCTTGCTTCCTCCCTTAATCAGAACTTTAGCTCTGTATACTAGTTGTTGAAAAAATAATTAAAAACTAAATAAATTTCTAGGCATGCGGAAACATACTCACAAAAAGAAAAAGAGTAAAAAATTCAAAAATAAAACTCACAAATTCATTATTTAACTTCTACTCTTTACAAAATCAAATCAAACTCCCTCACTAAACTGCAATTTTTAAGGAGAAATTTGCAAATCCTACCAACTGCAATTTTTAAATGAAAAATTGCAATCTCTCTCAACTATAATTTTTGAACGTAAAAATTGTAAACCTTCTCTCAACTATAATTTGTGGATGAAAGAATTGCAAACTCTTTTAACAAACTATTTTTGAATAAAAAATAAAAAATCTCTTTCAACAAACTATTTTTAAACGGAAAAATAAAAAATATTTTTTAGACACACAACTACTCAAATCTTCAACGCATCTAAAAAATTACAATTTATTATTATGTAAAAAATTAAAACTAATTATCTTTATTTATATTAATACTCAAATTTTATTTTCTTCGTACTATTTAATATGAGATTTAGATGAATATGATAATAGTTGAGGTTAACAAAGAGAATTCAATTTTTTCATTTCTACACATAAAATATACTTTAAATTTGCGCATATTTATACTTGTTCATAATTTGTTCATTATTTCTTGACCTTACTTTAGTTTTTTATATTCTAGTTTTATTTTTCAACAATTAATTAAAAGTTTAATAATTAATATTTTCTATTTTCTTAATTGTAGGGCACATGTTATAAGATTAAAAAGACAAGGAAAGAATACAATAAACCAAGAAGCATTAATGGATTGAGTATACGAAAAGTATTTCCTCTTAATTCCTAATCCTATGTTTTGCGCGCTCATTTCTATGACCTTAATAATGATTTTTATCGATTGACGTTACAAATTATACAAGCATATCATAGAAGAAACATAAACATAAAATAAAAGTTCGAAACATAGTAAAATAAAATAATAGATGCAAATTTCAAATTGACAAGGTGTTGTTATTTAACTTAGTTGGCGTCCAAGTCAAGGGAACCAAAGGAAAGAAAATCAAATTTAGCAAAACACATTCTAAATTTAGAGCTTTCTTTCTTCATCATTATATTTTTATCCCTAATGCATAATCGTAATATTACTAATTTTCATAATTTCTAATTATTTCCAAGACGTGAAACCGGATTTCACGGGCGGTTTGTTTACCGAACCGGGTCTCCGTCTGAGATTGGTGGGGTCCACCTGAACTCTGAGACCGGAGATGGATCTACCTGCTCACCAGCGTCCTTTATTTTCGGACCGAGTAACCGTCAACGGCACCGTCACGCCGCTTGCTCTTATCGCCGACGGTAGGCTCTGGTGGTCGGAAGGGATCCAACGCTGTCTCTCCGTCGAAAAAGAGGTCCTCGGATTCGTCGCTAGTGGACCCTACGTCATACTCAAGACGCTCGTGGAGGCTCGTGACGGTTGCTGCACCACCGGTGCCGCGGGCAGACTCGTTCCTCATGACGTCGTTTTTAAACCCTCATCGGATGAAACACATAGCCTCTGGTGTCAGAAGCTTCGCGAATTTATTGATTCTCTTGGTAACCTAGAGATTTTGAACGGTTAACGGTTGTGATTTGTTAATGTAAAATTTTGTTATGAATTGAATTGAAGTATGGATTTTGATGATGTAGGTCGACCTAAGAGGTTGCTGGTTTTTGTGAATCCATTTGGTGGGAAGAAATCTGCTGTGAAGATTTTTGATGAACAAGTTAAACCTCTTTTTGAAGATGCTCAAATTCAACTCACTATTCAAGGTGATTTAATTCTATCATTGCTATTGCTATTGATTTTTATGTTTTTACTTTTTTGTTGTTATAAGAGAATTTATTAGTAATAAAGATATGGGGATTTAACTGTTTGGATTGAAATATGAAACTGGTCCACTGATAGACCATTATGCTGAAAGTTGATCTATATAGCAGACTCACTTAGGGCTTGTTTGTTTTAAATTTTAAAAAATTGATTTTTTCATTGTAGTTATAAAAATAGATTTTATAAAACCATTTTTCAAAATATTACAAGTCTATGTTTGGGTGAGCTTCTAGCAAAGCAAACGTGTGGTGGCACCGCATTTCAAGACCAAAATACTTGAAAATGTAGAAGCTCCAAATTGGAGCATTAGAAAAACGCACATTAGCTGGGCGGCTGCCTAAAGTAGTTCCAAACAAACACCAAGTGTTTTTACATTCCTTTCTTTTCTAATTTGAAAGATTAATTTTGACATCCTGTAACATAAACATACATTATTGAATGAAGATCAAAACGTAATTGAAATAATAATTTTTAAAGAGTTGTATCTCAAAAATGATTTTTATGAAAAACTATTTGAAATAGCTTCAAAATTAAGTGATTTTTTGAAATTTTGATATCAAAAAAATGTTTCAATAAAATATGTAAAATAACATTTTAAGAATAACTATTCAAACCAAATTTTCATTTGAAACTTTTATGAAAAGTTTCTTTGTAAATTTTTTTTACACAAAATTATGTTACATTATAAAAATCGTTTTAAAAAAAAGACAAAACAAACGGGTCCTTAGTGGGATAAGACTTGGTTCTTCTTCTTATTATTTTTTGTTGATTCAGATTGTTTTCTTTCAGAAACCGAACATCAGCTACATGCCAAGGAGGTTGCTTGTTCGCTTGATATTAAGAAGTACGATGGAATTGTTTGTGTTAGCGGAGATGGAATCTTGGTTGAGGTTAGTTTCATTGTCATTTTTTTTAAACAAATTCAAGATTCAGTTATGTGTAGGTTGAATAACAGAATAGTGGATTCTCATTGAATTCTCATTGAATTCATGATTAAACTTGGTTTGCATCGACAATGCATCTCCTTTAAACTCAAAACTGTTTGTGTTTACCCTTTGAGGTATCCTTCCAAGATATTCAGTTATGTGTTGTATCCGTTTATGTATTGCCTTTTTTAATCTTACAAGCATCACACATTTTAGTAGGTTGTAAACGGGCTTCTTCAAAGAGAGGATTGGAATACAGCAATAAAGATGCCTCTTGGAGTAGTTCCTGCAGGTTCATTACTTGTTATGTTTTTTCGTTTTTTTCTCTTTTCTCGCGAGGATTTATATAATTTGACTTAATTACTTCAAACATTTTACTGGGAACGAGTGGGACACGTAGCTGTTGATTATTGATTGTTTGCCAGAAACAGTGAGACGAGACTAATATTATAATAGAAATGGATTAGGAATTAACAGGAAAAACAAGAATTTTAGTCTAGGCAAGGCAAACCTAAATCTTTAGCCGAGTATCATGTTGATATACCAGAACTGTGATGGGGATGCTGAATAAAGAAAACCAAAAGCCCTCCTGGCTCTCCTACCACTGAAATTCCAGCTGAATCAGAAGTCTTCTGACTGATTCTCCCTCTCCATGTCTCTTCCAGCCCCTCTTCCCTATTTATTCTCACTTCCCAATTAACTCTCTACTGGACAGATACTGAATTACTGTTGTCAGTCCTTTGGTTCTACTCTTCATTGCCGCGCCTATTTTTTCCACTGTAAACCCTCTTTATGGATTAACTGTCTACCAATGGATTTTCTAAGTCACTATTTGCTAAATTTTGTTCAGAAAGTTTATCATTTGTTATTGTCTGTATATAATGAGTGCGTGTGTTACTATAAAAATTTAGTTATGCCAAGCTAATAAGCTCCTTCATACTTTGCAAGGTACGGGAAATGGCATGGCAAAATCTCTGCTTGATTCAGTTGGCGATCCTTGTGCAATAGCCAATGCCGTTCTTGCTATTATACGAGGTTTTAATCCATTTATGCCATTCAAGCATGTCATACCCTAGCTATTTTAATTTGCCCCATTTTCTATGATGTTATAGAGAATAAAATGTGTATGAAATATTGACAGGCCATAAGCGACAGCTTGATGTGGCTACCATCACACAAGGAGAGACCAGATTTTTCAGTATACTAATGCTTGCATGGGGTAATTACTCTCACCAGACTTGACTATGCCAATGAATGTGCTAATCTAAGCCATTAGTTTCTTGGAAAATGCTAACTTGTGCCTAAGGGTTTAGGGCACAAGTTAAGAAACCAAATATGAAAAATTTGTTTTGTTAATTGTGTGTTGACTTTTTTAAATGTTCGAATTTTGCTTTTTTCAACACAGAAGTTTCTATTTTTTGATACTTGAGTTTCTTAACTTGTTCCTTTGGGGCACAAGTTAGCATGACCCTAGTTCGTTACTCTTTCCTTTTTGTTTATATAACCCAGATTTGAGCTTGCATATGGCACCAAATTTTGACATTAGTATTCACTTTGATGCAATATGATATCATCAAATATTTTATGGTATTTCAGGTCTAATTGCTGATATTGACATCGAGTCTGAAAAGTATCGGTGGATGGGAAGTGCTCGTTTAGATTTTTATGTTAGTAAGCCATTTTATAATGTTTGCATCTTGTTATATTTCACTGAATATAAGTGGCCCTAAATGGATTGTTGTTGCAATTATATATTTTTTTTCTGTTAATGTCAAATTTGAGTAATTAGTTGTTAGAAATGTTAGAGGGGGAGTTGAACCGTCAGCCTCTTATCTTTCCAACCCTTATGTTCCAAATCACCTTATCATTCCTTTGTTGCAATTATCATTTAACACTTTAGTTTTGGGTGTATTACAACTTTAGTTTGTTTGTGACTTTAAGTATAATGCCCTGTATACATCCCTGAGAAACAGATCCAAAATATGAAGGAAAAGATAAAATACTCCAGGGCTTTGTAATCAGAACTCTTGCCTTTGATTTTGAGAGAAGTTTCTTATCTACTGTTAAATCTTTCACTTTGTGTAGTTATATTTTAAAGGGTAATACTTAAATACTTAAATATCATAAATGAACTGTTGGCAGGGAGCTCAAGCTTAAGATGTAACATAACTTAAGTACATAACTATACTATACTGACTTTACCTGTAACAGTTTCAAACTCTTGTGTTAAATGTGCTTTGCAATTATTTGAGAGATGGGAATTGGTCTTGGTCATTATTATTTTCTTTATTCACTTCTCTCCTGCTATAGGCTCTCTGTAGATTATTCAATTTGAGGCAATACAATGGACGTGTTTCATTTGTGCCTGCACCTGGGTTTGAGTCTTATGGGGAGTCTACCAGTTACCCTGCCAAATCCACTATCAAAGGCGACAGCAATGATCCAAGTGAAGGAGCACATGTTAATTTGCAAACACTTTATTATCAAGGACCTGAAATAAACTTGGAAAATATGAATTGGAGAGTTATAAACGGGCCCTTTATTAGTGTCTGGCTTCACAATGTACCTTGGGGTGCTGAAGACACAATGGCAGCACCTGATGCAAAGGTCAGTTTTTGTGAATAAGAATCTAAGCATATCGTTTTACTTTCCCCCGTTAACACAATTGCATCCGTGGCAACGGCTTCATTAGGAGGATGAATTTTATATCAATTGTACAAATCGTGATGAATGATGTTTGCATCTTAATTTGCTTGATTTTAATGGTTGCTACAGTTGCTATTATACGGATCATAAGTGGTTTGATTTTTTATAACGATTTTTTTTCTCCCTGGTGAGGTAAGTCTGATAGTCATTCTATTATAATTTGGTAAATGCAGTTCTCTGATGGTTATCTGGACCTGATCATTACGAAGAATTGCCCAAAGTTACATTTGTTGTCAATGTTGTCAGGGTTGAGTAATGGAGAACATGTGAAATCCCCGTATGTCACGTACCTGAAGGTGTGATGTCCTTATATATTCAGAGTCTTTGCATTGATTTATGTGTATAACAAAGTTTGCTAATGTATATATCTTGCAATAAATTAAAGGTGAAAGCTTTCAGTTTGGAACCTGGTTCACGCACCAAGGACCAAGAGAAGGAAGGGATTATAGATTCAGATGGCGAGGTTTTGGCGAGAGGGAAAGGAACCTACAAGTGTGAACAGAAGGCTTTGATGGCGTATGATAAATTGCAGATTACAGTGGATAGAGGTTTAGCCACACTTTTTACCCCTTTATGATATTCATGGTTAAATTTTTTTCGCGGGCACATTCCACTCCATGCAATACCGTTACCGTTCACACGGTGGTGTGAACATAACCTTCCATGGGTTATATACATATAGTGTACAACATCAGATGTATTGTATAGCAAGTTTCCTTTGCAACACGAATTTGGCGAGGGTTAAATTTTTTGACTATTAATAAAGGAAATAATTTTATCACTCTTATCTTTGGTAAAAGTACAAGGTTTAGCTTCTCTAAAGTGGTACGCTTCCAAATATCAAGTGTAGTAATAAATATTTAATAAACTGGATATTGCAATAATATATGCAGTTATATACACGTATAACCAACCATGAAGTTGTTGAAAGTTTAGCAGTTGAACTTGATTTTATTATTTAAAAAGCTCTAAACAAAGTACAATTTGTGCAATCTGAATAGATCAAAGTTTACAAGATGGGGTGTTCGCGGTTCGATTTGGATCGGTTTTGAAGTAAAATATCATCGGATTTAAAGATAAATTTATTTGCGGTTCGGTTCGATTTTAGATGATTGATTTAAAAAATGTAATTCGATCTGATCCAATTTTTTGCGGTTTGATTTGGATTGGTTTTTTGGATATTCAAATTATAAATTATAATTTTATTAATATTATAAAAACACTAATAAATAATAAATTTGATATAATATATAACATATTATATTAAAAAAAGTTAATATTATAAAATTATAGTGATCGGTTATGATTGAAACAAATGAAATAATTAATAAATTAAATCAAACTAATAAATAGTATTTTATAAAAAATTATCATCTAATAATAAATTAACACAACATATTATATTAATATAAAATAAATAAGTTTAAAAAAAAATACATGCAGTTTGGTTTGGATTTATTTTAAAAAATCAATCTGAAATATGACCCAAACCAATCAGTTTTTACAAAATGTCATTCAAATATATCCAATAATTTTTTATTTTTTTGTGATTTTCAATTTTTTTAAATCGATTTGCGATTTTTATTTGAATCGATTTGAATTTGAACACCTCTATTTACAAAAATACAAACAGTGTTATAAACATTTGATTTATTACTGTTGTACTACATAAAAAGGCGCCATTTTTAAAAAATAAAAGGTGTCATTGTATTCGACACAACATGCCTTAAGAAAACATGACTCAAGACAACGCTAAATCAAATATGGGAATTAGTAATCTCATTTTAAGTGGTGGAAAAATCCTATATAAAAATCTAAAAAAACTTTCAAATTTTGAAGATGTATCTCCGGACACACCTTGAGCTTCATTTAAAATGGCAAAATTGAGTAACATTTTTCCCCCGGTTTAGCAGTAGTTTTTAGATAACTTACCCTTTTTATAGACAACAAGCATGGATCCCATTGAGTACAACGGGCATAACCGATTCCCAAACCCAAGATTTGCTTGCTGTTGCACCCCAAATTTGTCCTACCTTTAGATGGTTTCTAGTGTCACTTTATTTCGAATGAATAAAATGACACAATTGGCAAGAGACCGTGTGTGAGGAGTTGTGAGTGTTCATCATCATCATCATCATCACCTCCATTTGAGAAAGAGGAAAAGAGATCCAAAGAAGTTCGTCGAGAACCGTTGCCACCGGCGAAGAACAAGCGAAAGCATCACCAACCGGCAACTAAAATGTAAGCTTTTCTGTTATCCCAATTAAAACCTCTTCCAAATAATTAAACCTCAATTTCATTTTTTTAAACCATTTTTTTTTTGTTCTAACTAAAAAAATCCTTTTTTGTGAATTATAACTAAAACCAGTTTTTGATTATAATTACAGTAAGTAAAAACTTAAAACTTTTTCTTAATTAAAACACTAACCACTAGCAATTTTTAAAAAAATAAATAAACAGTGTTTAAAACACTTTTATAGTTAAGTGAAAACATTTTTACTAACTTAAAATTAACCCACTCCTAAACTTAAAATCTTTTTTTTTTTAAGTATTAAAATTAACATTTTTTTAATGTTAAAATTAAGTTTTAAAGATTAAAAATTAAAACATGTTAGAAAAGGTTAAAACTTTTTTTTTTAAACTAGAACTTTCTTTAAAATTTTAAAACTAACATTCTTTTAAAGTAAAACTAACGAGTTTTTTTTTTTAATGTAAACTTCTTCTTTTAAACAAAACTTATGATTAGAGTTTTTTTTTTTTAATTTAAGACTTTCTCTTTTAAAAATTAAAATTAAAACTTTTCTTTTTAAATTAAGATTAAAACTTTCTAAAGATAAAAAGTTAAAACTAAAGTTTTGTTTATTTAAAAATTAAAATCTTTTAAAATTAATACTAAAATTTTAATATAAAAATTATCAAAACAATAATAAAAATTCCAAATTGCATTTTCGTGTTTCTTTTAATATAAATTGTGTTTGCCATATTTCCGTCTAACTTTTCACTAATGTTCTCTGTTTCTCTCATCAGATTATACATAGATTCTGATTCATATTTATTTTAATTTATTTTGTTCCATGGATGTAATTTACGCGAGGCCATGGTCGCGGTTTTATTTTATCTTTCTTTTTTTTTGGGATTTGTAATTTACGCGAATGATCGTCGCGACGCTTTCTTTACTTTCTGCATTTTAATTTCTGTCATATAATATCTTGTCATGTTTGCATGTTTTACCGTTATTTTCCCTCCGAAAGAATTAGGTTTAGCCGTTTGATCGCCGAGTCAATAACCCTAGTTTCAACAGCTTCTAAACCCTATTTAGCCTAGGCGTCCCGCCGTGGACGAAAATACGTTTTACCCTAGCATTAGGTCAAAGAGTCGCCGTACTCTGTTTAGGGTTTCCCGCTGTGGAATCCCTAATTTAACCCTAATTTCATTTAACAAATTCAACATAGAAATAGGAGTTTCAAAACTCCACGTAAGCGTGTCCTTAAGATACTTCTTGACACTCCTTACGTGGATGCGCTTAAGGACACGCTTAAGGAGTGTCAAGAAGTATCTTAAGGACACGCTTACGTGGAGTTTTGAAACTCCTATTTCTATGTTGAATTTGTTAAATAAAATTAGGGTTAAATTAGGGATTCCACGGCGGGAAACCCTAAACAGAGTACGGTGACTCTTTGACCTAATGCTAGGGTAAAAGGTATTTTCGTCCACGGCGGGACGCCTAGGCTAAATAGGGTTTAGAAGCTGTTGAAACTAGGGTTATTGACTTGGCGGTCAAACGGCTAAACCTAATTCCTTCGGAGGGAAAATAACAGTAAAACATGCAAACATGGCAAGATATTATATGGCAGAAATTAAAATGCAGAAAGTAAAGAAAGCTTTGCGACGATCACTCGCGTAAATTACAAATCCCCAAAAAAAGAAAGATAAAATAAAACCGCGACCATGGTCTCGCGTAAATTACATCCATGGAACAAAATAAATTGAAATAAATATGAATTGGAATCTATGTATAATCTGAGGAGAGAAACAGAGAACATTAGTGAAAAGTTAGACGAAAATATGGCAAATACAGTTTAAAAGAAACAGGAAAATGCAATTTGGAATTTTTATTATTGGTTTGTTAATTTTTATATTAAAATTTTAGTCTTAATTTTAAAAGGTTTTAATTTTTAAATAAACAAAACTTTGGTTTTAACTTTTTATCTTTAGAAAGTTTTAATATTAATTTAAAAAGAAAAGTTTTAATTTTAATTTTTAAAAGAGAAAGTCTTAAATTAAAAAAAAAGCTCTAATCATAAGTTTGGTCTAAAAGAAGAAGTTTACATTTAAAAAAAAAAACTCGTTAGTTTTACTTTAAAAGAATGTTAGTTTTAAAATTTTAAAGGAAGTTCTAGTTTAAAAAAAAGTTTTAACCCTTTCTAACATGTTTTAATTTTTAATCTTTAAAACTTAATTTTAACATAAAAAAAATGTTAATTTTAATACTTAAAAAAAAAAGAAGGTTTTAATTTTAGGAGTGGGTTAATTTTAAGTTAGTAAAAATATTTTCACTTAACTATAAAAGTGTTTTAAACACTTTTTATTTATTTAAAAAAAATTGCTTGTGATTAGTGTTTTAATTAAGAATAAGTTTTAAGTTTTTACTTACTGTAATTATAATCAAAAACTGGTTTTAGTTATAATTCACAAAAAGGTTTTTTTAGTTAGAATAAAAAAAATGGTTTAAAAAATGAAATGGAGGTTTAATTATTTGGAAGAGGTTTTAATTGGGATAACAGAAAAGCTTACATTTCAGTTGCCGATTGGTGATGCTTTCGCTTGTTCTTCGCCGGCAGCAACGGTTCTCGACGAACTTCTTTGGATCTCTTTTCCTCTTTCTCAAATGGAGGTGATGCTTTTCCTCTTTCTCAAATGGAGGTGATGATGATGAGCTTCGAAGCTCTTCTGAACGTCCAGATCTTGACGGCCGCCGTTTTTCTTTTTGTCTTCTTCTCCCCCTTTTCTCAAATGCAACTCATGTTTATATAGGTAACAAAATTAGGGTTAACTCTAACCTAATGCCCACTTTAAAGCCCAACTTAAAGAATTAGTCAAAACTAACTAAAATTTAAACAAATTAAAACAAACTTAAAACCCTATTTATTTACTAAACATTAAAAATATTATAAAAATAGTAAAATCTTTTCTAATATTTTTAATTTTATAATTTTTGGATGTTTTTATGAATAATATGAAAAAAAGTGAAAAAATAATATTTTTTAAAAAATAATTTAAATAAAATACGAAAATAATAATTAAATAATAAAAAAAAACTATTTTTGTTATTATTTTTTTTATGAAAATAGAAAAGTTAGAATAAAAATAAAAGAAAAACAAAAAATAAAGAAGGTGGAATTCAAACTCTTGACCTCCCACACTCATAACTCCTCACACATGGTCTCTTGCCAATTGTGCCATTTTATTCATTCGAAATAAAGTGGCACTAGAAACCATGTAAATGTAGGACAAATTTGGGGTGCAACACTTGCGATGACCTTGTCTTCTCCCGTTCTTTTAGGTTTTCTTCAATCG